ATATAACAAATAAATGTAATAACTTTTATTGGTATATGAATGAATGATTATAAAAATAGGATAATGTGCACTAAAAAACATAAGTCCAATAAATGATTTCATTCAATAAAATATGCTCTACCCATTTGTTTTAAATGATATGAGTTTCATTATCTTTTGATTAAATTTCAATTCCAAAGCAATTGATTTTGATCAATGGTTAAGTCTTACTCGTCAGCAACATTTTGATAAACTTACATTTTCAAGGAAGTACAAATCAGCAATGTAGTATTTACCCCTACGGGTATTAAAAAAGGGTGATTCTAAGGTCCTCCCATTCGTTGCAAAAAGCAAGGGATATATGTCTTTCTGATGAGCGTTATATCATTGTGAACCGTTGATAAAAATCTAATGGTCCAAAATAGAAGAGAGGTAATCGGTCATACAGGTTATATTATAAAAAGAGAATTTGGTGATTTAATGAAGATGTTCGTTATTCGTGTTGTGTTGAGTTCTATCTTTTGTTGTTTTGTATCCATTTGTTTTGTGAGTACTGTATACTTCACCGGCCACTACGCAGTTATGCACCATAATAAAGTGAAAATTTCAAATCTGCAAAATTGTTGTCTTCACAAACATTACAATACGTTATGATTTTGGTTACGATTTGTGTATACAAATTTGGTTACTTCAAAGTGCTGTATATGAAAGTTTTGTCAGAGTCGACCTTTCCTCTGTGAACTCCCAGCCATTAGTGGTCTACAAAGCAAGAAGGGTATGTATACATTGACATCTTTCATAAACAAATACATGAATTTGAGGATTCATTTCCACGTCGATTCACGAAATGAGACAATGTAAAAATTTAATTGCATTAATATGAGGTGTAACTACTACATTAGTCCAAGAAAGAAGGCAATGTGAAAATTTCACTGCATTAATATAAACTCAGTACTACATTGGTGCAAGAAAGGAGACAATGTGAAATTTTCATTGCATTAATATGACGATTCAGTTCCATATCGGTGCATGAAAAGAGGCAATGTGAAATCTTAATAGCATTAATTCACTTTTCACTTCTACATCGGTGCAGAAAAAGAGCCAATGTGTTTTTTTTAATCTATTGTTTCATCACTTATCGCGTGTATTGGGACATCGGTTGACAGCTAACCAACCGATGCAGATAAAGACCGCTTCTAATTTTAAATGACATCTGTGTATTAACATCAGCTGGAGGATACAACCGATATAAATGTTCATCACCATCACGTTCTTTAGCATAATGTAATATATGACTATTACTATTACTAAACAATAAACAATTACATCGAAGGTGGGCCATCGTTGTAAGTGAAGTGACTACACCAAGTTGTTTTTCGATCCTTGATATGCAAAACAGATTTTAATATAATATACTTGTAAATCATTACACATATTATATCCAATTTTTAACATTATTTAAAATTTTGCAGCTGCGTAGTACTTTGTGACCTTTACTCTAATCATATATAATTAGTGATATGTTTCAATTAATAAAATAAGTTTGATTGAATTATTTTTAAAAGATAAAATTTTTGAATAACAAAAGAAATATTACACTTTTGAATATGTTAATGTTATTATATTGAGTAGTAGGTGAATTTTTTGTGAACAGGTTTTGCCAACCAATTTCTGTTATGAATCTTTGGCTCAGAAGCAACAAAAGGTCGCACTTCAGCATAAAGACATGAGTTTGTTTGAAGTTGAAGTGTATTGGAATGGAAGGCTAAAGCGATCTGCCTATCTAAAGTATGGATGGCGTGACTTTTGCACAGTGGTTGGCATCAATGTTGGGGATGTTGTAAGATTTGGCATGAAGAAGAAAAGAAATGGAATTATGCATGTTGAAATAATTAGTTAGTGCGACAATGATGTAAGTAGAGAAATTGTGTAACATTATCCATGCCCTAAAAGGGAGATAAATGTGATAAAATTTTTTGGCTGAATTTGTTTTGGCTTTGTTGATCCCATTTGTGAGGTGATTTATTTATATGCAAAATGAATGACTATGTTAATTACTAGTTTTCCCTTATGACGAAAATGTTGACCATTTGTATTGTGCAAATGACCGATATACATTAAAGAATGGGCCCAGTCCCAGTTACATTAAACCCTCTATCTACATCTTTTTATATCTTCAACTCAGCCTCACAACCACATCTTGTCATAGCTTTGTGGTCCCTAAGTCGATTCGGCAGACTTCGGTATGTTTGTCTTCGAAAACCTTCACTTGAACAGACAAATTGTTACCACACAACTTGTCCATTCTTATTTTTACCACGTTTGTTTTTCCTCACGCCAAACCCATTCATTTTACCGTATTCATTATAAAATTTATAACCATCATTCAAACTAAAAAATTCCATGTTCTTAATGTTAGATAAATCAAACAAATGTTCATATCCGTCATTCTGCATATCGACTTCATCTGAAGTTGAAATTTCCTCTTCAATATTGCATTCATCAACAAAAACATGTAACAAATCCAAATCAATATGGATGTTACTTCTTGTAAATCAGATACAACAACTTTCAATTAAACAAACAAAATATACACAAATCTCTTCGTTTCCATTCTCATTTCCACTGACATCCATTTTATCTTACAAGCAAACAAAGGGTATTATTCAGCTTGCTTTGCCTAAACTCTTTCTTCTTCCTCTTCCTCGTCCTAATCTCTTTCCTTTTTCAGCTTAGCAAATGCTACCCTTCCACGGTTCTTCCTCAGGTTTAGCTTTTGTTCGCTACAATATTGCAAATCAGAAGGGGTCAAGTCAGAACACAACCTACCACGAAGTGACAATGTGAAATTTCCATTGAATTAATATAAAAATGTAGTTCCACATCGGTGCACGAAAAGGGCCTATATAATTTATTTGACTCTGTTATTATATGACTTATTGCATTTATTTGGACATCGATTGATAGATAACCAACTGATGCAGATCAATTCCCCTTATAATTTAAAATGACATTTGCATACTAACATCACCGAAGACACAACCGATGTAAATGTTCATCCCCCATCAAGTTGTCAAAGAATCGCTTCGTAACATACAATATTTCCCATATTATTTTATATTACTAATACTATTATTAAACAATAAACAATTATATGTCGAAGGTGGGCTGCCTTAAAGGTGAAGCAACTACATGAATTATATTCAACTCTTGTATCATTGTTTTGTATGTTGTATCATTTGTCTCATGTTGCTTCATTGTAATCATTTATGATCACGATCAGAATGAAAATGACGCAGGAGGTTATGGTGTCATACAAACATACAGACTATGACTTTATCAGCATTATTTGTACCATTCCTTCTTCAATTTTTGTCTTCTTCAAACGACATTTCATCTTCTTCGATGGTACATAATAAAAATGACAATATGAATAAGGTCAGTGGTTAACTTTCTGAGATACCATAATCAATGTTAACACTGCCATGCTTAGAAGGGAAACAAAGAACTTGTATACTCATTCGTTAACGGTCCAAATATATATAAGCTTTCTATTTACTTTTTTACCCCTCGTGAATAACAACAGATTCAGGTTATTCATTTGATTTTTTACTTTTGTGGTTTCAATCCCAGCCATCAACGTAACACACAATCTAATCAACGGTCTTAATTATTTTGAAATTTACTTGTACAACAACTTTACTTTTGCAATTCTCCTACTTTTTGCAACGAATAGGAGGACCTTAGAATAATTTTTTTTAAATCAACAGTAAACCTATAAAGATAAAAGACAACTTTACAAGGATGAAGAGTTAATGCAGTATCTTTTTCTTCTTTCAGTACTGGAGGATAACTTTTTCTTTTTCCAAGAACACATTAGCTGTTGGATCAAAAGGGAAATTGGAGAAAAAAGTTGAGTAAGTTAAAAATAAAATTTAAGAATAAATTACATTCATATTCTTTTAGATTTGATAAAAATTCACTTGATATATATTTTTTTCATTACTTTTGCAACCCTAGATTTATATAATTTTATAAAAAAATTAGAATAATTTGTCTAATTAAAAAAGACATGCAGTGTTATATTGTTATAGAAATAAAAATGGAAAGAATTTACATAAAGAACCAGTACATTATTTTTTTAGTAAATTCTACGATATTTTAAAAAATGAGAAATATTTTATGTTTTTTTATATGTGAAACAATCGTAATAGTTGATTTTAGTAACATAGTTAGTAGTGTATTTAAAAAATATATAAATATTTTAAATATCTTAATATAATTAAAAAAAATATTTAATATTTTTTAAATTTAAAAATACCATAGTAAGTATCTATTTTTTTTATGCTTTTATTGTCAGTCAGGCCTAATGGAAAGTTGTGTTTTAGGTCGTGGCTTAATGGAAAGTTGGCTTTTTGGTGGTGGCTGTATGCCAAACTCGATCATGGGCCCGTTTGGGCCCTCTGTAAATGCATATTTCAGCAAGTAGCCCTCTGAGCTCACTGGACGAAAAGATTAGAGGCCTGCTTTAATTCAGCAACGGGTGGGTGGCCCATGAAGGAAGTTATTAACAGAGTCAACACAGGCCATTGAAAAAATTATGCTTGCTTATTTTTTGTTTAACGCAACAAACAAATTTGATTAAACACTTAATGAGAGAAAGTTAAATAATTTATAAATAGTTTAACTTATTTTTTACCTCAAATTTAAAATATATGTATAATATATAAATATATGTATATTGTAGAATTAATATTGAAGAACGAGAATAAAAAGAATAATCACACCAAAAAATTTAAGTACATAAACCATTACTATCAAAAGAAAAAAAAAAAAACCTTAACCCAAAAAAGAATATAAAAGAAAATCCAATATAAATTACATTTTTTGTTAAAATAACTTTACATGTACTCCATGTGTGCGTTGCTCATGCACCAGAAGAATGAAATTGAATAAGCAAAATCTGGGATCAAGGAACAGCTTGAAATTACCACCCTATCCTTATGCGAATATCCCTCTCTCTAAACGCACCCTTCCCCAGCGTTGATTCGATTCTCCACGTGGTCCAATGATATTGATCCGTTGTGTCTAAGGCTATCATCATGTCCTGCATGATTCCACAGGCAACAACTTCCACCAGCGTCCAACGCATCAGAAATTGGCTTAATGACAAGAATACCCTCCCCGACGGTGGCACAACAAAATGCACCAAGGAACACCAAGAGCGAAAACACACTGTACAATTCCTGACGTGGGTTCCAAAGCACAGTGAAACCCAAAGACACAATCTGCAATGGTAGACCCACCAACACTGTAATGGTCAACCCATAAATCCTCGCCCTTAGGCCTTTGTTTATCACCAAAGATAGAACCCTCCAACACGAGAACAAGAACCATGTTGCGTAGACAATACCAAACCCCGCGAACAAAATGCTGTTGAGGAAAGGGTACCCACAGAGCACCGTTTCATTGTTCAAGTCGTCGTTGAGAACCATGTAGGTTCGTTTGAACAGCGCTGGCACACGGTTTTCCAAAGGGTTGAAGAAGATGAGCAATGTTTGAAGAGTTGCAGTGGGGAGGCACGTGATGCACACAAAGGTAATGGCCCACGTGTCATTTGGTGTCTTCTTTCTGGTGGAGGCATTGAGGAGGAAGAGGAGAATGACAAGGAACGCGGGTTCGAAGAACCCTAGAGAGAGGACAATGTGGACCCTGCAAAGGTTGGCTTGTTGTGGTACGGTGAAAGAGGGTATGAAAGGGTTGAGATATGTGTGACGAAAGAAGGGTAATCGAAGGAGTTCAGTTATGGCCCAAAGGAATATGAAGAGGACAAGGAGGAACCGCACGGTCCAAAGAGAGTTAAAACCTTGCAAGTGGGTAATGGATTTTGATTTGAGGCGAAGGTGGAAGATGAAACATAAGGATAGTACCGATAGGATTATTAAGGCAGATATGAATGTTACGGTGATGAAGTCGAAAACTGAATTGAGGAGTAGAACTTCAGGCATGAACAACATGGATTGCTCTCTCTATTTTTTGTGAAGATATATATATATATATGTGTGTGTGTGTGTGCTTACATATATATATATATATACAATATATGTCTGTGTCTATTTTTCCATTTGCATGAGGTCTTTGATGTATATAGTTGTGTATGTCCCTTGATTGATTACCCCACCAAATGTTTTACCTGGATGAATGGTTTTGATCGAAGATGATGGGGTTGTGGTGACGCTGGCTCTGGTGGCAGCAGCGGCACTGGAGATAGATATTGGGTGAGATTAAGCATGGAAGATTGGGGATTGATGGTTTCAGGTGGATTGGCATAAAGGGTCTGGGTTTGACCAGAAGGAGCAATGGGAAATATATTAGGTTTTGCTATTTTTCTCTTTCTCTCTCTTCTCTCTCCCCACTCTTCCCAGCCTGGGGAGAATAGCTATGAGAGATTTGGGTTTTGAAAATGATAAAGCTGGAGGAGAGCAGCAGATAGAGAAAGAGCTAGTCTTATTTTATTTTTCTTTGTGGGATGCAGGGAAAGGGTGGCTTTGTGGTGTAACGAGGAGGATCCTTTAATTTCGGGGATCAGTTAAGAAGAACACCCTTGCATTCTCTTTTTTCGGTTTTCATGCGTACAAAATGTCATAAATAATAGTAAAAAAATTATATAATATTTATTTTCTAAATTCTCAGTGATATTTACAACCTTATATTGGCTAATAGCATGGTGACATGATATAGATTTGGCATATTTGGCTTGGTTTGTTCTATTTTGTCCCTATGCTTTGCTATATGTGATGAGATTTGATTAGTTTTCATTATTAGTGGTTATTATGTTATTTTGTACAATTTTTTCTACTCAATATGCGCATACAGGTATGAATAATAATTGATTACGTAATCTTGTTAATTTTTTTTTTGGTGATATGTTGAGTCATTTCATTTGTTGTCTTTATGCTTATATGATAAGTTATAAAATAAATTTTGGAATTTGTCTAATAATAATTTACAAAAGGAAAAAACGACAACTAGTGTATGTAAATGCAAATACAATGCTTAGTTGTGTTGCACCCTTTTGTATGTGCAACAGCTAATTATTAGATTCAGTTACACACAAAAGATAATTTGCACATATTCTATTATCTGGAATTCATCTAATAATTTTAGGTTGGAAAACTATATTAATTTGGATTGTGGAAAATGAGTTAGACGTTTTGACTAATTGACCTGTAAGATTTTGACTCTTGTGGAGAAAAATGGGCGTACGAAAAAAAAGTTCTTATGGTTATAGCTTATACAAGGAAAGGAAATTTTTAAAATATCAAAAAGTTTTCACAGAAAAAATATTTAAAAAACTGCACCCACATTATATACTCTGCCATGTTCAATTTAAAAAAAAAAAAAGGATTAATGATACACTGTATTCAACACACTTTAGATTGAAGTTCTTATGCTAAAATACTTGGTTAGAATTTTACATTAGTTGGTGTTAAAAATTTATTGAAAAAAGTTGTTATGCTGATATTACAAAGGATGTTTTCCACATGTTGCGATTAATTTAGAACTAACAATACAAAATTGTCAGATTTAATTATGTCCTAGATGTTAAATATCTCAAAATAAAGAGTGAAGCATCTCAGATGTTCAATACCAAACGCTATGTGATTTGTGTAATGAGTAGGTTGAATCTTTTTTCTCACTTATTTTTCTTTTGTAGTTGCCCTGCAACAATAATTTTAACTAAGTTTTCTTGGCTTGCTTTCACATTGTAAAGCACATTTCTCCAACATCGCAGCCTATTCAAAGGGAGCCGAAAAAAAAAACTATAATATGATTTATATGGATTTGTCACAATGGAATAAAAGGTTTTCATTCACATTATGGATTTCATGAAGATTAGGTCTTGGATATGGTTTACAAGTAGATTTGACGAGTCTCATTTTATTTTTTTTCTTAATTTCTTAGATAGATATGTATGTCCTCCTCTACTCAATGTATATAAAAGGTGAAGCAGTTATGAATATAATTAGGCCCATTGAATCAGTCTTTAGGTTGATGGTGTTGCCGATAAAAAGTTTTGGATACACACAGAGATGAAATTTGAGGAACCTACAAAAGCACTTCAATATTTAAATTTGTGTGCATTCTAGCAAATTATTAGTACATCGAAGGAGAGTTTACTTAGTGCTATAGGTAATATTCTTTATATAAGGTTTAAATGCAAATAAGTCATTACTCAAATATATATCAGAGCGCAACCATGAGACAAGTCCAATGTGGCAAGAGCCTCTTAATTTTGATTATCTTAAAAATTTTGATATGAGGTGTGAGCAGATAACTTGAATTTTTTGCTCCAATTTAAATAACTTTTTAAAAAGTTCTTATAAAAGGAAAAAAAATTCAATATAAAAAATATTTAAAAAATTTATAAGTTAAAATTAATTTATGTTTTTTTATAGAAAATTTATTTCATTTAATTTCATTAAAATTCAAGAAAATAAGTTATTTTTAATTTACAAAAAAACATTTATTTATCCAATCTGGGTCTCAGTAGACTTTGAACTTCTTGGATAGGAGGAACCGTACTAGGCCTGGTTTTATTGGATTGGATGTAACCCATAAATGCAAAACAGTTGTTAAAGATTGTATAGTTAGAATACCTCTTATGCTCTTTTATTAATGAATCAATCTTGTTGATTAAAAAAAATACAATAAAACAAAATGCCGGCAACCTTGTTTTAATGAGCCCCGAAACAAATCCTGCTGCACTAACAAAGCTAGACTTTGATTAATTATTAATAAAGTTTGTTCATTTTAGTGGGGAAAAAAGTGGGGAAAGTGAAATCAGGGTATGATTCTGCCAACAACTTAACAGGCAATACACATAAAACCTACATTTCCAGTGATCACTTTCTGTTCCACCTATATATAAAATTTTTTGTTCTTTTCCTTTGTCCGTGTGTTGCGCACCTGCATCCCACTAGTGATAGTAAAAACTTGTTAATTAATTTTTGTAGTTTTTATTCATCTTGTGTATATAACATCATGCATTGTGGTCCAAGGCCAAGGATAATTAATAATCAATAGACATTAACGTAAATTCTCCTTTCTCACTAGACTTGAAATAAATTTTGTCGAATTATAAGTTTTGCTGAATTTGGAAATCAAGAACGATCAAGTTAACAACTATGAAGCTGATTAAAAGATCAGCAATACGATCAATTGGGGGAACAAATTAATTCCTTGTTGAGCTTCTTTTTACACACATATATATATAACACTTTCTAATACTTTGAACAATTTCTTATACTTGTGCTTCTCATTCTATCTTAATTCTAATAAAGAGAACCATAGCAATATGATTTTTCACCTAAAAAATTTTTTATTCACAGAATCTGTTTAAGACAGCAAGTGCAGAACATACTTCTTTCTAGTCAGGGACTAGAGGATAATCATTATAAACAAAGCTTTCAAAGAAAAAAAATTAGAATGAACTCATGATGTATAAAATACACAAGTTTTATTTCATTCAACGCATGTCTTCAACTATCAAGAGCCTTCCCTTATATAGAGGAGTTGGGTACAACAAGACAAGCACTCAGATAAGATTCTGATATAATAAAGTTACTTTAACAAAGTTATAACAAAGCCAAACTACTTTAAGTACATGATCACATCTAAAGTTACTTTTTAGTACATAAAGATGCTTTTACAAAAGTTAACAACTATAAAGTGACTTTTTGTTCTTCCTTCAATTTTTAAAGATAGGCTCATAACTCGGAGAGAGATTAGGGTCATCTTCATTGATCTAATCAATTTCTTTCAAAATAGATTCATTAGGATTTTGGGAATCCATAATCATGTCAACTTGGGATAACTCAGCTTCTATACTCAAAATTATTTGTCCTTCTCTTTCCTAATTATCAATCTTGCATTCTGATGAGATAATTGATGGAGCAACTTGTTGGATCCTATCCCATATGCCTTTATCATCAGGGTCAGGTGGACAGATAATATTCATTGGTTTTAAATTGGAACAAGTAGAATTCACTTTTATCATTTGATCACAGACTCCATTAGTGAAACGCAAATGAATTAACAAATCAGCTTGTTCAAAAGGTGGCTTTGCAGGATCAGAAATATCCTGTAAATTCTTGTAGGTATTCCAAAATCTGACCTGATTTTGAATATACAATAACTTGGTTGTTAGATGCTGGAAATAAGGCCTATGGATTATTACAACAGTTACATGTTGTGGAAACTAATCAGGAGGAATTTAAACTTCCTTCCATATACAAAGTCTCTCCATTTCTTTCTATATATCTCTTTTCAAATAAGGAATAAGTTGGTACCATTTGAGAAATTTCCATAACAAGGATGAGTTATTTTGACCATTATCAAGAAATTCAAACATCCTAAAGCTTGGAAATATTATTGGATAATGGAACAAGAGGGAAACACACCATAAATATCATAAATCTTCTTTAATCATGGGGTAATCCATTAACAAAGCAAAAATGTTCAGATAAGGAGCATCTGGATGAAACCAAGAAGATTTAGGTTTAATTCCATGATTATATAAAGAAAGAGCTAGGTAATGGAATATATGATTTTTGGCAAAGTCTTTTTATGTATTCAAGATTAATCCGACTGTTGGGATTAAATTTTGGTGAAAAATTGTTCAGATGTGGGTTACTGGTGCTGGCTTCAACAATGTTGAGAGGAAAAATTGATAGATAGATCTGAGTGGAGGTAACAATGGAAATTGGTTTTTTTGGACGAGACAACAGATTTGGGACAATTTTTTTTTCTCATTTTATGTGCTTAACAGTAAAATCATACCTGGAGAACCAATTTTTTAATTTGAGAATCTGAGGATTAGGTGGCATCTTATTTTTGAATTCAAGAAGAGCGAGAAATAAAAAATTATCCATTTGGACTTCAAAATTGTGACTTCAAATTTTTGAATACCATTTTTTACCGCAGAGCTTCTTTGTAAGTAGTATGATAATGCTTC